CCACGTGGCAGCCTGTGGTGGGACTGAAGACCCCCCTGCTTAGGGGGCTGCTCTACAGTGGAGAGGGCCTGCTCACACAGCAGACCCTACATCTAGATATTTACAGAAGTGCTGCTAGGGGCTGATCAAGATCTCAGCCTCCCTCTCTCCTCCAACTGGCTGCTGCAGCAAAGACCAAGACCCTCCTGGTCTTGGTGTACCTTGTGCCCTTGGAGACACCAAGGGCCACGTATCACTCCCTTCTCCCCTCTCCCTCCACTAACCCACTCTCCTCTTATTCACCTCTTCTCTTTCCCCCACCTTCTACCGCATCTTTTCTCTCCTCCTTTTATCTTCCCCACCCCACCTTTCTCCCACCTCCCATTCTTTTACTCTATTTTCTTCATCTCTTCTTTTCTTTCTTTCTTTTCTCCTTCCTTCTTCATCTCTCTCCACCTTTCCCCATCCCTCCTCTCCCCCAACTACCACCACACCATCCCCCTACCTCCCACTTCATCTTTTTCTCTCCCCCCACCTATTTCTTTCTTTTCTCCTTCACTTCTTCATTCCCCTTCCTCGGGTTGGCCTGTCAGACCAGCCACCTTGGCCTGTTCTCACAGGCCTGTGTTGTATTCGGGGTAGGCCAGTCGAGGCCGGTACCTCTGTCGGTACCAGTCAGTCCAGTCCAGTCCCGTCAGTCCGCTGGGGTATACCCCAGCCATTGTCTGTTTTCAGTCTCATTCTTCAGTTGCACATTTTGGAGTACGTGCGTTGGAGTCTGCGTGGGGAGCTGCGCTGTGCACCTTGCTCCCTCCTTCTTCCTCCATCTTCATCTCTGTCACTAGCGGAGCACCACACCTGGTAGGTCCGCTACAGCCGTCGATAAGCATTTTCGTTTTTGGCCTGTCGTTTCCCGCTTTTCGTTTCTGCTTTTCTTTTTGTTTGGTGGTCGGCATGTCGTTCCTCTTTTTTTTTTCTTATTTTTCCCGGTTTTTCAACCGTTTTTGTTTTTTCTTTTCTTTTTTAAACACTTTTTTCCCCCCCCCCCACAAAGGTTCCCTTACTATCAGGGCCCAGTGCCCAAGGCGAAAATACAATTAAACCACCAGTACTTGGCCCTGCTATCGCAGCCGAGCCTGGAAGTGCCCTGCGCGCCGTTTCCCGCCGAAGCGCCAATTCGATTTTGGTTTTCGGAAAGGCTGGCGGCGCCAGCCTTCCAGGTCCGGTTGCCCGAAGCGCGAACTTCGCGTAGCGTTAACACTAAGGCCCGCGACCGATGTATGGGCCAAGTACTAATGGTTTAAACACAAGTTTCTAATTCAGGGGCCACGAGGCCTCCAACTGCATTCAGGCAGTGGAGCCCGTCCCCTGTGTCGTTTTGTCGTTTTGTCGTTTCGTTTTTTCTTTTCTTTTTGTTTCCCGGTGGGAGTGTCGTTTCCCGGTGGGCATGTTGTTTTCCACTTTTTGGTTGCGGGCATAGGCCGCACTGCCCGCACCGCGGGCGCTACGCTAGTTTAGTATATTAAACATTTACTTAGTTATTAATGTAATATTTATTAATAATATTGCGATCGCAGCCCTCTGTGGTCATAGTTTTGCAGTTATTCTTTGGGTCTCATTAGACACTCCTCGGGCACCGAAATTCCTCGAGGAAATGATCGTTCCACCTATCCTTGGAAACGAATTCTGAAGAACACATGTGAAAACATTTCCTCGGGCGGCCCCAAGGATTTCCTCGGGCTACAGCTATTTTGTTGTGTTCCCCGAGGAACCTCGCAAGGTCCCTTGGAGACCGAATGCCCGCAAAAAATGGGACAGCGGCGACAGCTATCGTCGTCCTCCAATTTCAGCAGGGTGGTGCAAAGGTGGTCCAACCAGGATGAGGGCGGACACTTGCAGGCGCCAACGTTCGGGTGCCGGGTACGAAGGATGGCAACGGTTACTTCGGTCGGCTGTGGGCGTGGCCGTCCGGCCTCCCGAACGTTGGACGCCCTCTATGGCCCCTCTCCCGGTAGGCGGGAAAAGAAACGGCTACAACGGTCGGCCGTTTCGAATTTCCAGCGTGCAAGCAGTGTGTGCAAGGTATGTAAAACAGCAGAGGGCGCCAGCTTTTGTCGTTTGTCCTGTTATGTTTGCCGCTGTTCGGTTTGCTGGTTGGGTGGCCTGCGCCGTCATTGTGTCTTGCCTGCTGGAGGGCGTCAAGTGTTGATGGCATACGTCATCCGAAAGCTGTCAGTGCTCGTTCTTGTCGTCATTCTCCTTCTTTTTGTCGTCCTCCTCCACGTGTGCGTCCTCGGGATAGCGCCTGCACGCGCTCGCGGGAGATGAGGGCCGAAGAAAACCATCACCATGGACGCCAGGAATGTGAACGCGCAAACGTGGACAGGGGCGCCTGCAGAAGGCTGCCGTCGTGACAGCACCGCCGTCTCCCGAATGCTGGTGGTTCTGTCTGGTTACGAGTACCTCCCTTCCACCTGCCGCCGCTGCCAGAGTCCTCGGACGGGGAGGAGGAGGGGGAGGATACGAGAAGTGTCCCGCTTGGCAGTGGTTCGACCCAGGATTTGGGGGGCAGCCAATTGTATAGCTGTCGCGGTGGTTTGCCCGAGCAGACGTTCACGGAATTGCTCGAAGAAGGCATGCGCGGAGACGACAACGGTCGCGCAGTGGACCTTACGTTCACCCTTGGCAGCACCAGCTCGTCCGCCACCACGCGGACTGTGCTCGTGAACCCTTATCCGGACGACGATGCGGGGCAGGTGAACACTTCCCAAGGAGTATCAAGGGGTGTCTTGAGGTGGCAGGAGACGACGGATGCCGGGAGGGAGCGGGCGATGTCGACAATGCCGTCTGCGTTAGTCCCCCGCAGCGGTGGCGGTGGTGTGCAGCGGATCCGCCCCCCTTCAACGACAGGTGGCGCCCGCCGTGCAGCGGAACGCCGGCGACCTGAGGAGGAGGATGATTTCGAGGGCGATCACACGGAAGACGATTGTGGAGGGAGTGCAGGCAGGAGATGCGGCGACAGCGAGAGGACTCGATAATGCAGGGGGTGCAGCGTTTAAGCGTGGGTGGTCGGGGCGCCGGTGAGACGGGTGTTGGTGGCGGAGTAGCGTTGGCTGACGATGGCGAGGGCGATTGGTCCCAGCCAGAGGAGAACACTGAAGCGTTCCCCATGCGTCCACCGAATATGGACAGGCGCGGTGGGAGGAGGAGGACTGCGATGGCCCCAGACCATCGTCGAAGAAAGGGTGTGGCCGGAGTTGCCAACGGGGATGGTGACGTGGACGGCGACGGAGGGCGGAACTTTTGGTCGGTCGACCATATGATCACGTTCATGAGGGCGAAGCGGGACCAGGATGCCCAGCTGCAGGCGTCGGGCCGTGCTTACGCCCGGATGAGGACGAGGGAGTGGAAATGGGCGGACGTTTGGGAGAGGTTGTTGAAGGTTGGTGTGGACCAGTCAGCCGACAAGTGCGGGAAGAAGTGGGATAATCTTATGCAGCAGTTCAAGAAGGTCCACAATTTCATGCGCGAGTCGGGCAAGGAGGACTTCTTGTTCACAAAGGAGCAGCGCGCGGAAAAGGGATTCAATTTCACCATGGAACGAGCCGTGTACGACGAGATAAAGGGAGCAACAGAGAAGAGGCACACAATCAACCCGACGAATGTAGCCAACACCGGCATTGTACCGGCATTGCCGGGGGTGTGCATATTCCGTCGTCGTCGTCCGCAGCACCAGAGTCTGTAGGAGACGGGGAAGGTGGCGGCGATGGCAATAAGGACGACGACAGTTCTGCTCCTAAGCCCTCGCAGCCGACGAGTGGTTCAAGTGGACAGGGAGAGAGGAAGAACATGCGACAACAAACATTCGACGCCCTGACAGAGTGTTTGGAGAAGCATGGGGCGTTGATGGCATCCACCGTGGAGAGCTCCAGCAAGAGGCAGTGCTCCATTCAAATCCGGCAGTGTGAGGCTTTCAAAGCAGAGGTGGAGGCGCAGAAGAGACACTACGCCGCCTCCGAGGAAGTCAGCAAGTTGATGTGCCATGCACTGCTGGAGATTGCGAAGGCATTGCGAGAGAGGTAGACGTGACGTCGACTGCACACGCCCGTGCGCCCGCATTGTCGGACTGCCGCATTGACGGCGTCTCCCTCCATTACCCTCGGTTATTCCTTGTCATCGAGTTCATGTGGGTCGTTTGTGGTTCATGCCTTTTAGTGTCCCTGGTTCTTCGAGGTTGCGTCTTCGTAGGGAGCAAAGGTGATGACTTCACCTTCTTCTTCTCACGTTAGCAAACGCAGGATGTGCGCATCCTGTCGTTTTTTTTAGTTAATGTGTCGTCGATGAGTCCTGCTTTGGCAGTTCCCCTTCTTCGTTGGGGACGCCAACCCGCTGCGACGTCGGCGTAGACACGTACAGACTTGGAGAGAGAGAGAGAGAGAGAGAGAGAGAGAGAGAGAGAGAGAGAGAGAGAGAGAGAGAGAGAGAGAGAGAGAGAGAGAGAGAGAGAGAGAGAGAGAGAGAGAGAGAGGTTTTTTTATGTTCACCGCCGGCGCCCACTCTCGCGCGAGAACTAGAGAGAGAGAGAGAGAGAGAGAGAGAGAGAGAGAGAGAGAGAGAGAGAGAGAGAGAGAGAGAGAGAGAGAGGTTTTTTTATGTTATGATTTTTTGTTTTCTTTTCTATTTTCCGGTTTGGTTTCGCAATCACTAAGTGGAGAACGCTGTTATTTTTGTTAATTTGCTTCCATAAAATGATTGTTTTGCTGTTATGGCACGCCATGTCACAAGAGCTTTTTKTWYTTCTTCGCAAAGTTTGGTGTGTTGTGAGTGAAGTKKTTTTTTTTTTTTTTTTTTTTTTTTTTTTTTKTYTTKTTATTAAATAGTGAGTTTCCTTTGCTGTGTACGCAAGAATGAGAAAAGCGAAAAAATAAAAAAAACGAAAAAAAAAAMAAAAAAAAGGACTAAAAATCAACAAGAAGGATGAAAATTGGTATTGCAACTCCTTGAAAGAAAATCTTTGCGCTAGCTGGCGCCTTTGGTAATCGTCTTGTGGTGTGTGCCTCATGGACGTGCCCCTTGTTGTTGGTTTTCGGAGATTTTGCTTTGTGCACGTCCTCGTTGTACTGCGATCTTGTGATCCTCTGCAATGTGCCCCTTCGCAGCAATCCTCCATTGGTTTTTTGTGCTGTTTTCCTGTCATTGGTTGTTGGGCTGCCATCGCTTCGGACCCTACGCTGTTGTCCGCGTTCTTTTTATGGTGTTGCATTGACGACGGGCCGAACGGGGAGACGGTTCCGCCAGGGAGGGTTGGGTTGGAGCCTGTGGCTAATCCGTTACCGTATGGGGAGCAACAAACCCCGCCTTCGCCCACTCCACCCCCCCTTATTTCCACGTCCTCCGCGCGTGGACACAAAAGGAAAGGCCCCCACAACGAAACGTCGACGTGCAGGGAGTCGTGCAATCGCCATGGTGAGCAGTGGGCCTTGATTGGGCGTCTGAATTGACGTCGGCCAACCGCGAACACGGGTCTGGACCCCACGCATGGGTACGCTGTCGCATTCCCTTCTGTGGACATCAGCCGACGACCCTTCCAGACGCCGCACCACTATATGATAAGAGTGGTGGCCGGACCATTGCGCACAACACAGAGCGACCTTCTACGGACCGCCACACACGCAGCCATCCGCCATAGCACGCACACACCCATGCCACGTCCACGCCTGTGCGCCTTCTACACTTGGATCGTTGTCGCTGCCCGCGAAGCCTGGTGACGACCACAGGTGATCTGATGTGTCTCGCCTGCGAGCTTTCTCGCCACTCTGCCATCCGGTGACATCATCCACCCCTACCACCGTCTCCTTCTCCGTCCGCTCCGCCATGTCTACTCATCCCTTCGATCGACGGGCTACCAACCTTTGTTGCGGTGCCGCCATCGACATTTTGAAGGCGGCCATGACGAACGGGCGCAGCTTGTCGAGGGTGAAAAGAGGGGGAGACGCCTCGCAGAAGGATGTTGCCCATGCCGCGAAAAAGGGGAGACATTCCGCGACGCAGAAGAAGGCACTAACCGCGGGTCCCGTACGTATTGGCAAAGTGGCAAGGGACGAGTGGATCAACGAACGGGGTAGAGGCGACGATGACGATGAATCGGCGGAGGAGGAGGATACTGCCCATCTCGCCAAGAAAGGTGTCTTCCAAATGTCGAAGACATGAAGGGTCGGCGAGGCGGGGGGCGGGAATGGCGGTGACGAGGTCTCCCGCCCGGTTGACAATGTCCGCCTCGACGTCGACGTCGCTGGCCACTCCAGGGACGCTTGCAGGGTTGTGCCTAGCCCGGGCACGAGGATGGGGGCGACGGGTGGGAGGGCCATGCAGCCGGGCACGAGCGATGAAGGGCAGGGGATGGTGGGGATAGATTCAAGTCCTGCGACGCCCTGCGATCCGACGAGAACGCAGGGCGGGAGGACAGCATGCGGAACCGCCACGGTTCACGTGGCGCCTCCTCGCAGTGGGAACGGTGCCACAGTTGCTGGGGGGGGCGCAGGGTCGAGTAGGGGTGCCGGGGCGATGGTGGCCGCTGAGGGACGTGTGGATGGCGACAACGACGAACCTCTTGTGAACAGGGTGAGGTGGCAGAATCCGCAAGATGGGCTGGAAGCAAAGGCCAGGCTATTGGTGGACGACCTTCGCTTCTGGAACAAGACAGAGGGCCACGGTCTCTTCAAGATCATCCAGGAGGCGCGCCTTTTCCTTGTGGCCATCGCGCGGGGAGTGAAGCCACCTGAGATTCGCCACAGCATTGTTCTTCCCGTCTCCAACGTCCCCCAGCACAAGGTCGAGGGCGAGTCGGAGTTGAGGGCTGTGAAGGAAAGGGCGACGAGAGTACAGAACATCGCCCTGCGTGCGATCCACGGCTGGATCTTCAAGTTGGGGAATCGTGCGTGGGGTTACCACTGCTCGTATGGCTACGTGCTCAACCACGTTGCAACAGACATCGGTCGTGCCATGTGGTTGGGGGAAGACTGGCGTACATGTGTCGGGCCCGCGATTGTCCGCAACACGCTGGAGCTTGACATGAAGCTCCCTTTGTGGTTTGTAGGCGCCGAGATCACTGACAGGCACGAAGACGACGAGCTCGCGTCCTACCAAGAGGCGACGATGCAGCGGATCGTGCGGCCACCATGGGCGGAAGCGATCGACGGAGGGCGCCTATTGTACGAGAGGCTGAAGAACATCGCGGACTGTGTGAGGCTACTCCTGTTGGCTGCGATGTGGACCATGTGCATGGCAGGGGACGATCTCCGCGCACACTACGAGGCGTCCTTCATGACTCAACTCATTGCAAAACCGACGCTCATCGCTTCCATGCATCGGTCCTTCGACGCGCGGAGGCATGTGCTACAATCGGTCGATGTAGTAACGGAGAGAATGGGGAAGTCGCCGATGACGCTAGTGGCCCCTCCTTCATACATCCCTGACTGGGTGTCGTGCGGGTTGACCTTCAACTGCGACGCCGCTTTGTCATCCCCAGAGCACGTGAAACGCATAGACTGGTTAGGAACGGGTCCCTGGTTGGAGGACGACGACGACGACAACAACAATGACGAAGGCGGCACTGCCAAGTGAGAGCCGCATCCGCACGACGCCGACAGTGGCGATGACGTCATGACGACCACCGGTGATCTTCCACTTCGGCGCTTTCGAAGGTGATGACGCCATCGCCAGTGGACACGACTTCACTGACGACAACGATGAAGACGACGATGATAACGACGATGATGACGACGATGATGACGATGATTACGATGATGACGGCGACGATGATGACGACGACGACGATGATGACGATGATGATGATGATGATGATGATGACGTTGTTGATGATGATGATGATGATGATGATGATGATGATGATGATGATGATGATGATGATGATGATGATGATGATGATGATGATGACGACTACGATGATGACGACGACGATGAGGACGACAATGATGATGATGATGATGCTGTTGGTGATGATGATGATGACGATGATGACGATGATGATGATGATGATAATGATGATGATGGTGATGATGATGATGATGATGATGATGATCATCATCATCATCATCATCATCATCATCATCATCATCATCATCATCATTGATTATGATGATTATGATGATGATGACGATGACGATGATGATTATGATGGTGACGATGATGATGATGTCGACGATGGCGGGGTGGTTGAGTTTTGTTAGACGGTGGTGTGGGAGGTGTCGGGTATCGGGGAACCAGTCATCTGGCTTCCCGGCGACGGTCGTTCCAGGGGTGGATTAGCGACCAAGTGAACAGGAGGACAGACGGCAGGACTGTAGTCAGAAGCGACGAGAAACCTTGTTTTCACCACCTCACATCATCGTGTTCCGTAGTGGGATGTCAGCGCTCTGCGTGCAGTAGGAAGTGCGTAAGGGACGTGTGCACATGTAATGTATATCTGAAAAAAATTAAATCCAATGTTTGTGCTCTGAGACTCGTCCTTTGCTTTGACGAATGGTCGCGAGGGGGAGAAGCGTCAAGAATGTTCTTTGTTGGAATGGTGAAGAAGTGCGACCTCCGTTGATGTGGTAGATGGTCGTGTATATAATGCTTTGTATGCAATCGGGCATGTGCGGCCGTCGATAATGTCGTCATTCTCGTTCTTCACGCAAATTCCATTCGAAACCCTCACACACGAGCGACAGTGACATGGCGATTATTAGTATTTACGCTGCCTTTCTTTACAACTAATTTCTTTCCTTTCTTTTCCAGTGCTCGCAGTTGTTCCTTTTTTTGTTGTTGCTCCGTTTCTTTTTTTCCTTTGCCTTTTTTTTGGTATGCTTTTCTTCTCTCTATTCATCTGCAAAGTATGGCGCGCGCGATAACGAAAGGGAAGAGAAGTCGGCCATGATCATGAACCCGGCATAACTCACGACACATTTGTAGGCACTGTGGACACGTCCCGTTTCCATACGACATTGCATTATCCAAGAGAAGCTCGGGAACAAAAAAAAGTGAATGAAGGAATGGGTTGCCACAAACAACCGAGGAAAAAACGCAGGGTTTCGAGGGCGACTAAGGTCACGCAAGAGAAGGACCCTCAATAGAAGAGCATACACCATTTCAACAAAAACCCAAAGAACACAGTGAACGACTTTTCGGCGATCAACGCCACATTGAATCATGTCGACAAACACGGAAATGTCTCAAGCTTCTCTCATAATCCGGAAAATCATAACTTAAACAGACCAAACAACAAATGAATGAGTTGAAACCTCGGACGACGATCTTCGACGGCCAAGACGATGTACGGAAACAATAATCGGCCGACCTGCCCGCATGGACGGTAAGCCTAAGGAGGAAAACGAAAGACTACACGCACGCCTCCGTCGTCGAACAGCAGCCATAGACCAGACGCGAACACAATACCGAGTAAAAGAACACACCAACAAAGCACCATCGTAATCCATCAGTACGACTTCAAGACACCTACAATGCTGCAAATTGCATCACTGGAAACGGCGAAAACCTAGCCACGTACGACCACTCCCTACACGACACTACACAAGTGGAGGACGACCACTTCATACGTGTCTTCAAGCACTGCCTCCACTCCATCGCCGGCCTTCGGTGGACACCCCACTTTGGCCCCGTGGATCTCCGCCCACGCAAATTGCCACTCCTCAAGAACGAGCCATCATACGCTCTGCCAGCGCATCCCGCAGAAGCATAGCCTCCCCCGTCGAAGTCTCCATGCACAGAGTGCGGGGGAGGTCACCGTGGTGGAGTCCCAGATCCACGTGACGCCGAACACCGTTCGCGTCCACTTCCCAAAGCAAGTTCTCGTCAAAAGGGATGCCAACGTCGATGAGGATGTTGTGGAGAATGCACACGGCAACGAACTGTTGCGGCAACGTATCCATGTTCATCTTGTGCGTCCGCAGGAACAACCGCCACATGCACTTGAGCCTACCGAACGCCCTCTCCACTGCCCCCCTCGCGGTCTTCTGCTTGTTGTCGAAGCGGAACTCCGACGCATACTTCGCCAGGCCGCCGTACGGGACGACAATCCATTCACTCGGCGGGTAGCCATTGTCGCCGAGCAGATACCCATTTGTTAGCACTTGGAATGGCAGCATCACGGGAGGGCCCATGAACAGTTCCCCGGACTGCGCGCGGGACCAAAGACTAGAGAGGTGGAGGATCCGAACGCCGTGGCAGCTTCCACGGTACCCCACAAAGACGTCCAAAACACGGAGGTCAAGGTTGACGACGACTTGGGCTTGCACCGAGAAGCGACGTTTGCGGTCCATGTAGTCTTCACCGGGCGCGTTCGCGGGCTTGTCGACGTAGATGTGAGTGCAGTCGATGCACCCGTGGCAGTTGGGGAAACCCTTGTCCGCGAAAGCGCGCAGGACCACAGCCTTCTGCACCCCCGTCGGCCAAGACACCTTGTCCCCGTACACCGAAAGCAAGGCCGCTGTGACGTCCCTCACGGCCACCAGACCAGAAGCCCTGCCAATGCCGAAACTGCACGTGCTGCTCTCGTACGTCTCGCCAGTGGCCCATCTGTACAACGCATAGGCGACGATATGGTCTGGCTGCAACGGCACCCTGTAAAAGGTAACACGACGCTGCAAAATGGACGACAAGTTCACCACAATCTCACGGAAGACACGTGGCGACATGCGCAGCTTGTCACGAAAGTACCCCTCCGTTGGATCGTGGGCTGGGGGAAGGTCCTCCCACGCACCACCCGTCCTCCTCTTCACCCACCATCGCGGGGTGGCCCTGGGCAGGCCTCCGCACCCCACGGCGCAGCACACCTCCAGAACGGCATCCCATACGGCAGCGGCATCCACCCCTTCAGTCATTACGGAAAGAAGTGCCTTCCTGGCCCTTGCGCGGAGCCGCGAACGCATCCTCTCCCCCGCGGTTTCCATCTGGCATCGCAAAAGGACGACCGCGACAGCCGATGTAACCGCAGTCCGTTCCGCCATGGTGAGCATGCGATGGTCGGCCTCGCCTGCGTTCCCCATTGTAGACGGTTCCACCGCAGAACACAGCGCACTGCCCTCCCAAGGCACACAGCACCGACAGCCCAAAGCTCCGCCGCCACCTGCACTTCACGAGGGCGAATGAGGAGATGGAGATGGCGAGCGTGCGAAGACTTCAACAAACTGTGGCCACGCGGTGGCAGCAGTTCGCATGACACATATGGACGACAATGTGCTGCACGTCGTCCTATAACGAAATTCAGAGGCGCGAGCAGGAGGAGCACTGGCTGAACGGCTATCTGCACCCGCCACGAAGCAGCCACAATAACCACCCCCCCCCCCCCGGTGCGTTCGAAATTCAAATTTCGAATCTCGCGCGTGCGCGCGCCTTTTCCCTATTTCCACGAGCGCGCCACAGCCATTTCAAATTTCCTGCGGCCCGGCGGTGGACCACGACCTTGCACCCGGACAAGAGACGCTGGACCACCGACCGCTGCCCCGTCCAGCGGCCGCATATATTCTGATACATTGCCCCGCGGCCCGTCCTTGCACCGTCCTTGGAGATCGTCCCGAGGAACGAGTGCAACGAAAGCGACAAAATCCTCGGGTGACCCCAAAGATTTTTCCTTGGGCGCCGAGGACGCTCCGAGGAGTGTCGAATGAGACCCTTTCTGTAATATCTGTATCAGTTTCTTTTTTCTTTTTTTTTTTTTTCTGACACAGCTGTATCAGTTTTTTAACACTCCCCCCTTCCCGTCATAATCAGATTTTTTTTTTTTTTAATGCCATTATTATTTTTCTTAATTTTTTGAATGCCATTATTATTCTGATTCTCCCCACAGTCACTTACAGGCAAAGCATTTTGCCCGGCGCACAGGCACAACGGATCTGCAGGCTGATTTTTTTTTTCTTCCCTCCAATCTGCCTACCGTAGGTTACTGGGGGCAAGGTCCCACTAGCAAAGAGGATTGGATTAAGCTCCTGAATCTGGACACGTTTTAAGCAGAGGTGCAGAAAAGCAATTCAATCTCCATTTTCTGCACCTTTTTCCCAAACATGTCCAGGTGCAGGCATTCAATCCAATCCTCTTTGCTAGTGGGACCTAGCCCCAGCTGGGCTGCCCGGATCGCTATTGCACGTGCAGCCCGGTCGTCCAAGCGCCAAAGGAGGTCCCAGCCAAAAAAAAAAAAAAAAAAAAAAAAAAAATCCCCAAAATCTGAAAAATAAATCATCATGTCATGCAGAGCAGCAGAAGGATAAACTCTTATACACATCTAGATGTGTATAAGAGACAGCCCTTACATATTTTGCCACGGTGACATGGAGCTGGGCGAGGCACTCTCTACAGGGCCCATCTCCAACCGCAGCCTATGAAGCACTTAAGGAAGAAAGGTCTAACAAATTATAGTAAATAACCAATTCTAAACCTGATCCTACTTTCATTCACTCTGCCAATCTACTGTATCATACAATGAGACAAAAGGTAGCTGAAAAAAAGCACCACTCAAAAATTTCACACAAAAAAAGGAAGCAGAAAAAGGCAGCCTTGGAGATGGTCCTGGCAGTCCTGCAGGGGAATCCAATGTAAAAAGATCCAGAAAAGCTCCCCGTCTGCACCCAAACCATTTCAAATTTCAAGGCTTTGGCTGTGCAACCCTTCTTTTGTACTCTGTACTCCCAGTCTGCCAAGACAGCTTGCTTTACATAAAAAAAAAAAAAAAAAAAAGACAGCTGGCTTTATAGCCCCGTACTTTATTTCTGCTCTCACAATTGGGGGTGTAAGATGTTCTCCTCCTCCTCCTCACAGCAGCATTCCGAAGATTCCATATCCTCCATACAATGGCCGCTCGAATAGTTTCTTCTACATGCCATGGGCCAAATGATCAGGGGACGATCGTCTTCTAGGCCCTGGTCCCATTAGCAAAGAGCATCGGATTGAATGCCTGAATCTGGACGTGTTTGAGGACAGGAGCAGGAAATCGAGATAGAACTGCTTTTCTGTATCTCTGCATAAAACATAGCCAGATTCAGGATTTCTATCCTATCCCCTTGGCTAGTGGCACCACGGCCCTGGAAGCCACGCCCATCAACAGAAACTGCCTCAGGGTCACATCGGAATTCTTGATTTTTTTGGTTTTTTTTTGTTTTTTGGCCCATCCGGGCACGTAGTCCCTGCCCACTCTTTTAGCTGAGCTGTCTGCAGGCTGACAATGAACACGTGGCCATCGCAACCCAGCACATATGAAATGCAACTCAGGGCCTCCACATTACTCGGGACATGAAAAAATTAAGGAAAAATTATGTGTGTATCCTGCTATCCACCCACAGAAGCAGTTAGGGTTTGAGTAACCTTTGATTCATTTGGTGGCTGCAGTCGGGGATGGGATTGGTCGGGAGTGCTTTTCCCAGCCCTGTATGGCTGCGGCTTATATGTAAGGGACGCCGGACCCGTTTTCCGGCATATAATGGAATGGTTGCCTTCTTGTTAAAAAAAAAAAAAAAAAAAAAAAAAAAAAAAAAAAAAAAAAAAAAAAAAAAAAAAAAAAAAAAAAAAACAGATGTAATTCTTCCTATTACTCTCCTTTTTTTAAGTTTTTTATCACTTTTTTTTTTTTTTCTTATCTGCTTAAGTTTCGAGGGGAGACGAAACTTCGTAGTAAATTAGTAATACAATAAATACGCGCAGCTAGCTAAATGCCATAAAGGCTACGCGTACTTGGGCTTGGTTCGTGGTGATTTGTATATGTACATTCTTGTTTTCCTATTTATAGTAAAAAAAAAAAAAAAAAAAAAAAAAAAAAAAAAAAAAAAAACAGATGTATGGTGAGGCCCTCCGCCACGTGTCCACTCGGGCTAATGCAATCAAGCAAGGGGGAACAGTGACCAAACGTTTGGAAGTCTGTTTTTTTTTCCTTGTTTTTAATTATAAAAAATATATTTACTGTGACCACCGTTGTCAGATTAGACACAAGATTGAATTTACCTCGATGATAATACCTCAAGGCCATCGCCCTTTAAAAAAAAATAAAAAAAATTAACATCAAACAGTTCTCTTCATCTGAAGGCATCCCGACTCCAAGTTGAGTCTGATTTATTTTTAAAATTTTTATTATTATTATTATTATTATTATTATTATTATTATTTATTTTTTGTCCCACTTGAGTCTGTATTTCAATAGTTCATGGGTGCACCAACTGAGCTAGGCCAGTTGGTAACTGATATCATTTCTCTTCAGTGCACACCCGTCTACCTTCTTCCCCCGAATACAACGTATGGTCATTATAGCTGTATGTAGACTGAAAGATACCCCAAATTCAGCTATAATGACTGTAGGGAAGACTGTAGCCCAGTTAGTACACCCATGAACTGTTGAAACTTGAAATACATAGCCAAGGGAGAGATTGTAGACAGACATAGGCAGAACCCAGTGTTTGGGTAGATAGATAATGGTGGTTTCACGTATTGGCCTTGGCTCTAAACGTTGGTACATAAAATCTGATAGATTCAAACGGCTATGCTAACGAAGTCAAGTGGTTGTTAAGAGGCCGACTTTTAGGCCTGGGAGTTACACTTGGGATCTATAATGGGATACTAAGGGAGAGATTGTAGACAGACTTCAGTTCACCTGTTGAGTGGGGGTTAGGAGTTTCAGATGAGTAAGTAGTCTGGGTTTATATTGGTAATGCTGAGGTATTAGGTGCCGAGGTACGAGGTTGGACTGGATTGAAGCACATATAGGAATAAGCCTTGTGGAGAGGCAGCTCCTATCTGTAATGAGTCAATTTTCTTTCTTTGGAAGTATTGGGACACTGGACCCGGTTTCCAGAAGCCTACAGCTGGGTAAGGGCCCGAGCACGTTAATTGTACCGGGTTGATTGTGGGGTGTATTCCCGGGCCCCTATCCTTGGATTTGAAATGAAAACTCATGCTTCCAAAAAAAAAAAAAAAAAAAAAAAAAATCCTTGTGTCAGTCGTTCGAATCCACTATCCGTAATTACGGTGAGTTACCGAGTCCAAGAACACCAAGCATCAGGACACCAAACATAGCAGATGTAATTACCATGGGTCACCAAGTCCAAGAACACCAAGCATCAGGACACCAACCCATATAGAAGGTGGGGAAAAGAGAAGTGATAGTGGGTCTCGCCGCACGGCACACGAAACGAAAACGAAACGAGTGCATCTGCCTAGGAAAGGTGGCAAAATACACTCGTTACTATTTATTGGAAACCGATGAACCTGGGCATTTTCTGCAGGAAGATGCACTCGTTTAGTTTTTCGTTTCGTGTCCCGTGCGGCAAAGCCAAGTATCTCTCCCGAACACGACCTCGATGGGTCAAAGGATTAAAACGATAAACCACCCATCGCAAAGGTGGCCAACGTGCAAAACATAGCTCACAGTAGTCTGACCGTCGTCAGTTTCCTGTAAGCCGCGTTAATCTGCGCCAGCAGCGCAACCCTAGTACGCCGCGTTTCGACCGGTCGCCAGCCGGTCATCGTCAGGGGTCAGGATAGTGTCGCGAGTTGAGGAGGATTGTAACTAGTCAAAGGATTGTTTAAACCACCAGTACTTGGCCCAGCTATGGGCCGCGGAAAAAAGTAGAGTAGAAACGTTTCTAGTTGGATGAATTTGGGCGCTCCTGTAGTGGCCCGTACGTTTCCGAAAATCGCGTAGCGTTAACCCTACGCGACTTTAGGAAGTACTGGTGGTTTAAGTAGTCACTGGTCAACCTGAACCAGAAAAAGGACTCTTCTAGAAGGTTCAATGGCCAACCCAAGCCTCGAGAGAAAAAGAAAGTTATCTTCACACTGACTGTAAGACTCCTGAAAACTTCTGAAAACAGCCTAAACGTACCTAGACCGATTTCAGTACGAAAAACCAACTCATTTTTATCCTAAAAGACAAACCCCCCTCCGAAACCTGTCCCAGCCTCTGATATGAAACCGGTCCCATTCCCAGGCCTTGAACTCCTACAGAACCCCCTCGTACGCCTCGGCCTCAACATTACTCAAATTCTTATAACCGATCCCAGGCCCTGAGCTCCTTTTTTTTTTTTTTTTTTTTTTTTTTTTTTTTTTTTTGAAAGGGCTTTTG